GCAGAAGAGTGAAACTAGATCCCCACTTCTCACCCTATATAAAAGTCAATTCAAAATAGACCAAGTTCCTAAATACTATAAAACTACTAGAAGAAAACACAGGGGAAGTGCTTCAGGACATTGGTCTGGGCAAAGATTTTATGAGTAAGATTTCAAAGGCATTGGCAACAGAAGCAAAAGTAAACAATTGGGATTATGTCAAACTAAAAAGCTTCTGTACAAAATGGAAGCAATCAACAGAGTGAAAAGACAACCTACAGAATGGGAGGAAATGTTTGCAAAGTACTCGTCCAACAAGGGATTAATGTCTAGACTATGCAAGGAACTGAAACATCTCACCAGCAAAAAAAGCAATCTAATTAAAAATGGGCCAATTATCTGAAAAGACATTTCTCAAAAAAAGACATATATAAATGACCAGGAAATATATGAAATAATGCTAAACATCACTAATTATCAGGGAAATGCAAATCAAACTCACAATGAGGTATCATCTGAGACATTTTTCAACGAGCTCCTGTTTCTTTCTCTCGACTCCCTGTCGAACTTCTATTCCTCCTTCAAAATGAATGGAAGAATCCTGACCTGACTTCCTGAGATTTTGTTGTATTACCTAGCTCACTATATATGAATCTTAACCGTGCAAATCTTAATCTCCCATCAAGGAATAAAATTTATTTTCGTTCATCTTTCATTTCTAATATAGTGAATGGATCTGAAAGAATGGATCTGTTTTAAGTGTCTGCTTGTGTTCCCTGTGTATTAGTTTATTAACCAACTTAACAGATAACTGGCTGATGGACTGGATGGTTGCTTTTGATGTTATAATCTCATATGAATTAAAAGGGTGTCAGATGAAGTTACAGACGAGCACTGATGAAGAAGATGGGTCCAACTGATAATTGTTTCAACATGGTAATGTCTGCTAGTTTGTTAACTTTTTAACTTGGAGGGTGCAGCAAAGCTCAAGTCCCACAACTGTTGAAATGGTGAGAAATACATTCTAAAATTTTAACTTGTTTAAAGATAAAGCTTAAAATACACTCCCCATCTCCCCTCACCCCTCTAAATATCAACATCATTACCTTGAACTTGTCTTTGAGGGCAGGGATGGCCGAGGCACCTGGAGGCCTCTGAAGCAATCACCTACTTAACATGCACTAGCGGGTCTTGGTGAAATATCACCCCTGATGCCGGGTGCTTATCTTTTATGGAACAGCTTGCAAATCCTAATTGTTTTAAACTGGCTCTGAGGAAAAGAGATTTGAGAATCAATAAATTATAGCTCTCATACATACAAATGTGCGTCATTATAATGAAGACAATCTGATGGCTCTTTAGGTCAAATAACAAAAGAGGTGGACTTGGGTTTGTAAAGGCTCATTGCCAGTCCTCTCATTACAAGGTCTGAATGCAGTTTTACTCTCTGGTTGCTGTGTTTAGATTCATACACGGGCATTTGTTTTAGATGGATAGAGTCTCTGTGAGAGTGCATTGAGGAGGGTTCATTACCCGTTTGGGTGGCCATATGTCTTCTTTATAAGGTTCATTAAGGCAGAGGCAACAATATTTATGCTTTTAAATACTGATATGCCAAGAACAGCTAAGTAAACTATTGTAAGAATTGTAACATCTGTTTTTCAGACCCAGAGCTTTCTCTGAGATTCCAGGGACTTTCACCCAAGGTCACTCGTCTTAGTCCCCTCTAGAGTCTTGGGAAAGCTCAGAATATGAAAAGCAGGCAGCATGAATATTGCTTTCTTGAGTCAATGAGAAGTTGTCTTGTACTCCTGCAGGTGGTAGTAACCTGCAGAAGAGTTTTACTACTTTTTTTCCTAATTGAAGAAAATAGTTTTCTCATCTTTATTTTTTTTATTTTTATTTTTTTTTTTGAGACAGAGCCTCAAGCTGTCCCCCTGGGTAGAGTGCCGTGGCATTACAGCTCACAGCAACCTCCAACTCCTGGGCTCA